AATATCGTCATTACGTTTACTTACTGATTTGGTTCTGGTGAGCGGTGGTCTTCCACGTTTGACTGGAGATCGTTGCATAGCCATTAATGCCAAACTATTGTTAAATATATAGTTCTATAAATTATTAGTTTCCTTTTTAAAAGTCAAAAAATGATTAAATCAATTATTTGATTTAAGATATTATCACAAATGAAGTGAGCAGGAAATTTCACCAACAGTGCCAAGAGTCAGATACGCCCCCATACTTTATATTCAGTTTTAATAATTTTTTAGACTAGCAGTTATTTTTTATTTCATTAATAATAATGTCTAAAATATATGTGTAATTTTTACTGTAGCTGAATACTAATACTGTTATTGTTTGTATCTATTATTAGGTCTTCAGATATTCTTGTTCTTAAATAAATATTGACATATCTACATTAAAACAGAAGAAAGTTTATATGAAAAAGATCAGAAATGTATCTATATTTCTGAACGATATGTTTACAGTAGTTTTCAAACTTCCTCATTATCAATAATTTAAAGCTGCTTCCATTAACTTTTTTAAGAGAGGGGAGTTTATTGATATAAAAAGAATTGTTTTGATAAGTAACAATTCTTTTTATATTTTAAATAAGAGACATAAAATATTATTCAAGATATATTTTTTTATTGATTGTGTTCATTTATGTTGAGACATTGTAATTTTAACTCAAAGAAATATAAAATGTTTAGTTTTAAGAAAAATTTTTATTGTTTAATATAAATATTACATTGTTTTATATTATAAAATATAGGGTTTTCATAAGTTACAAGCCATAGGAAATAATCATGTGGAAAGAATCAGCAAGTTTATAGTGTACTGGTTATGTGATGCATCATTTCAAGTCTGCAGTACTGTTAAATGGAAATTAAATGCACAAAAATGATATTCATAGTCAAATTAGCTGGTGTGTTGTGAGGATTGAGCTTGTTCTTTTTAATATTCTATATCAGGCATGGCCAACATATGGCCTATCTAATGAATTTGCATAGTGTTAATTTGTTGTCGTAAATTCATAATCTGTTCTTCCATTTCTGCCTGTTTTTCCCTGTTTTCATTTAAATTTACATGAATTAAGTTTAGTTCCTCCTTAAAATCATTTATTTGCTTAAATAGTTTGTCATTAGATGTTTTTATTAAGTTAGATATCTTATTCCATAGAATGGCAGATGAAGTGTCTAGTAACTCATCCGGGTTATATAGTAAGGAATCAAGTACATTTGGCTCACCTGAATATTCTTGAGTATTATGTTGGTCTGATATTTCATTAATTTTCCTGGCCTCCATATAAGTGTCTTGTAGATTTTTATCCGGTTGTAGATTGTAGTCAGTGATTAAACGGGAACTCGTTGCAATATCGTCATTACGTTTACTTACTGATTTGGTTCTGGTGAGCGGTGGTCTTCCACGTTTGACTGGAGATCGTTGCATAGCCATTAATGCCAAACTATTGTTAAATATATAGTTCTATAAATTATTAGTTTCCTTTTTAAAAGTCAAAAAATGATTAAATCAATTATTTGATTTAAGATATTATCACAAATGAAGTGAGCAGGAAATTTCACCAACAGTGCCAAGAGTCAGATACGCCCCCATACTTTATATTCAGTTTTAATAATTTTTTAGACTAGCAGTTATTTTTTATTTCATTAATAATAATGTCTAAAATATATGTGTAATTTTTACTGTAGCTGAATACTAATACTGTTATTGTTTGTATCTATTATTAGGTCTTCAGATATTCTTGTTCTTAAATAAATATTGACATATCTACATTAAAACAGAAGAAAGTTTATATGAAAAAGATCAGAAATGTATCTATATTTCTGAACGATATGTTTACAGTAGTTTTCAAACTTCCTCATTATCAATAATTTAAAGCTGCTTCCATTAACTTTTTTAAGAGAGGGGAGTTTATTGATATAAAAAGAATTGTTTTGATAAGTAACAATTCTTTTTATATTTTAAATAAGAGACATAAAATATTATTCAAGATATATTTTTTTATTGATTGTGTTCATTTATGTTGAGACATTGTAATTTTAACTCAAAGAAATATAAAATGTTTAGTTTTAAGAAAAATTTTTATTGTTTAATATAAATATTACATTGTTTTATATTATAAAATATAGGGTTTTCATAAGTTACAAGCCATAGGAAATAATCATGTGGAAAGAATCAGCAAGTTTATAGTGTACTGGTTATGTGATGCATCATTTCAAGTCTGCAGTACTGTTAAGTGGAAATTAAATGCACAAAAATGATATTTATAACAAAAATTCACTATACCTTTAAAATGCAGTCTAGTTTACATCTGTCGAACGTTTTCGGTCTGATTCACAAACCTTCATCAGGATCGAATTATCAATCGAAATATATTTCAAATTTGCATAACGGAGATTCCAAACTGCACGTTCTTCTCGATTGCGCATGCTCATAAATATAATTTTATAATTTTAAAGTTGCCGCTTTCCATGCCGACGCTATTTTGTTCGATTCACGGAAATTTATATTACGCCCTTTTTCTTTGCTCTTGTAAATGTGCCAGGCTTCTGCATATTTTAGATGTTTTATATTTTTCACTTTTTGTATGACATCTGCCTTGCTCCATTTGATGTCGATCTCTGTTGGATCTGCTATCGCGTAATTGGCCAAAGCCGTGACTGGTTGTTTAAAGCTTACATTCTTTTTGTGCTCCTTCAATCTTTCATTTAATGATCTTTTAGTGGCTCCTATATAATATAACTCCTTATTTAGCCTCCTATCATACAACGGTATTCTGTATACACCTGGGATCAGCCTCCTGTCAACGGGTGTTTTGTCGTTTCTTAGCATTTGAAATATTGTCGTGTTTCTCTTATATGCTATTTTCTTGTTGCTTTCTATTCCTATTTTTCTGTAAATGTTACTTAACTGAGCCCTGTATTCCATTACAGTGAACTCCTTTTTCTCTCTTTTAACTTTACTTTTATTGCCTTCTTTTTCTGCTCGTATTAAGGCTTTTATTTTATTCTCCTTAATTCCTACNCTTATGAGGGGGAATTTTACAAATAATTTGAGAAAAATACATCTAGGAATAGTAAATTTAAAATTTAAAAATATTAAATTACAAATCAATTCTCATTTAGTTTAGACATCAATTATATTTACAAACGTGGTAAATCAAATGCTTTTCCAAAACAGCAGATGATTGTACAAACATTAATTTTGGTTTGACAAATAGTATTGTTCTGAAACTTTTACAAAGTAATTGTAAATTTTATAAAGATCCGTTTTATTAAGATCTCTTAAACTTGATTTAAACTCCAGTTCTGAATTAGTCTGACATATTTGGGGTATTTTATAGTAATTACATAGTTTTAAAAGTTCTTTACAGCTTTGAATTAAGTGGAGTAGTGAAAATTCTTCAGAGTTGCATAAGGGACAGTAAGTTCTTATTAGGTCGATATATATATTATTAATAAACACAGAATATTTATTTAAATGGAGTTGAATTATTAGACGTTTTACGTTTAGATTTATTGGCTGAAACATATAGGGTTGTAAAGATGGAATTTGCAATAGTTTAATATACCATGGATGATAACTGCTTTGATACAATGAATCTTGATCTCTATTTATTGCTTGTGAAATTGCAGAATTTATTAGGAGAGAGTAGCCGAATTTCCAGTCGTTAATATTGTCGTTGAATAGTAATACTGATGTACCAAAACTATTTAAAATATGAGTTAATTTGTATTGCCATAGTTGTTTGAATTTACGATTTTTACTATGATTAATATTTTGATGGTGAAGATATATTATTGTATTATCATTTTTGAATTTAATTCTGTAGTAAAATTTAATTATACGTTTTAAAACAAAGGGAAAAAACCAAATTCTATTTACTTCATGTCTCAAAGCGTAGCCTGGAACTGTTCTTTCAAGTTGAAGTAGTTTGCGTAAATAATAAACATGAAGAATTTCTAATTTAAATATATAATCTAAACTCCATATTGGGCTTGCATAATATATTATTGGAACAATTGTTGAGTTAAATAGTTTAATATGAACTTTCAAGTTGGTAGTTTTCAGTTTAGAGCATAGAAATAATAGATTATCAATTGCTTGCTTTGCTTTAATTTTTATTTTATTAAAATGTGCTTTAAAGGATAAGTTCCACTCAAACCTGACACCCAAATAGTCTATTTCATTTACAGTTTGTAAGAGTATATTTTCATGATATATTTTAGTGTTATTTTCAGATATTTTACAGTTATTGCGGAATATGATTATTTTCGTTTTGGAAGAATTTATTGTTAAATATAATGATTGTAGGAATTTATTAAGTTGATTTATTTTCCTTTGTAGTGAAATTTTTGTAGGAGCCAGAAGCACAAGATCATCAGCAAAAAGAATATAACGATAAATTCTATTTCCTATTGCAATTCCATCAGTTGGTTCAGTATATAGACGGTCAATACCAATAAGGTAAAAGTTGAATAAATATGGAGATAGAGGATTACCTTGGAGGACTCCACGGGATAAAAGTAAATTTTGAAAGATATTGTTGCCTTGTTTTATCTTGATAATATAATTTAAGTATAATTTTGAAATTACTGAAGTAAATCGAGTACTTGCACCACAGGATTTGAGATTATATATCAGTAGAGGCACATATATTGAATCAAATGCTTTTTGGATGTCAATAAAAGCAGCATATATTTTCCTATGTTTTTTTAAAAGATATAGTTGNTAATATAATAATGGATAGAAAGTGATAGTTACAAGAAAAGGTTATAACAAATTATTAAACAGCTTAATTTTATTTCATTATTTATGTTTACTTTAAAAAATGGAATGAGTACAAATTTTACAATAATTTGAACAGAGCAATATTTAATTTTGTTACTCTAAATATTAGTTTTTGAATCATTATTTAAGTTAAATTATTAAATAAATTATTGATTACAATCTAATCAAATTTTAATACCAGATCTTTATGCATGGGAACAACATGACCACTCTGCATAGTCACATTCATCGTGATATTTTGCCTGCAGAACTTGGAGGATCGGGACCACCTTATAATAACGAGTTTTGGGCTAAACAGTTGATAGGAGATGAAAATTTTAGTTTTAGTGACAAGCACATTTTTTGGCCTAGACATAATGAAGAACCATGTTCCAATTCTTCTCCAATTAGGTAAGAAAATTTAATATTTAATTTTATAAAGCAGTTTGAAATTTAATTTAAATAATAATAATAATAATAATAATAATCATTAAAATGATATTAAAAATTCACTAATGTCAAATTTGTTATACCATACAATTAAGATAACATATGCTATAAGATAACATAGCTATGCAATATAATGTTTTCATAATTTAGTTTCAGGAAATTAAATTTCATTTGAATTTAAAGGAAATCATATCAGAATGAAAAATGTTTAATAATATGTAAAGTGATCTAACTGAACTTTAAAACAGATTACTTTGTGAAATTATATATAGGAAGTGCACCAAAGTCAACCCTCAGTCTGCTTTTTCCATCAATTTATTTTACTTTCACACCTTTAATAATATTAGAGCTAAAATTATTTTTCCAATATGAAAATATTTTTTGATTAGTTGTTCAAGTACTTCCTTTGTTAGAAGGAATTAAAAAATTTTTATAAAAAGAATTTTTGAATTTAGCAAACTGTGTCAAAAATCTATTAAAAAAGATTAAGAAAAATTATTCTTATCATATAATATTATATGATAAGGAAGTAATTAAAGACAGAAATATTAGAAAAAACAAATAAAATAAGTAGTCATATTAAATTTGAACCAGAAAAATAAATTAATAAATCAATAAATTATTTAGATATTAATGTAAGAAGACAAGAATAGTTTAATATTTAGAACGTATAAAAAATGAATGTAATATAGGAAAAGTTATAAATTATTATTCATATTGCTTTAATTATATAAAAAAAATAATTTTATAACAGAACCAAAGAAAATTTATTGTCATACAACTTTGGACCAAGACATAGAAAAAGATGTAAAAAGCACATCAAAAATATTTACTTAATGATTATCCTAAGATAATCCTCAAAAAATACAGGATAAATATGAAAAAAATAAATTTTATGTGAAAAATAAAAAACTAGATAAAGATAAATTTTATAAATTTCCATATATTAAAGGACTGTTTGAAAAACAAAAAAGAAAATTTAAACAAGTAAGACATCAATTAGTACCTATATTAACCAAGAAACTAAAATATACAGGTAGGAAAAAGAAAAAATGAAATAAAGAAGAAAAAATGGATTCAGTGAGTGTAGTGTGTGAATTAAAATGTAATTGTAATAATGATAACAATAATAAAGGAATTTATATAGGAGAAACAGATAGACAACTTAAGACTAAAGTCAAAGAACATTTAACAGCATTATGACTACAACATCATTGATAACCTTGGAAGAACATCAAAAGAAATGTAAATGTATAATAGATCAAGATAATATTAAAATAATATCATTTGAGTGAAATAATAAAAAAAGGAAAATAAGATATCATAGTTTTGCAATAAATGATAACCATAAATGATGTGTAATAACATACTAATAAGGATTGGAAGATTGAAATGTAAATATGAGAAAAATAAAGAAAATAACATAAAGTAAGAGAGAGTTTTTAATACCAGTTTATGGTTACTGTGTTTCCCTGAAAATAAGACAGTGTCTTATATTAATTTTTGCTCTGAAAGATGCGCTAGGTCTTATTTTCAGGGGATGTCTTATTTTTTCCATGAAGAAGAATTCACATTTATAACAAAAAAATTCCCAAGTTGAACTTAGATGAGAGTGACACATATCCAGTCGTGTTGAACTGAACTTAAATAAAACCGAAATGAACTTACGAAGTTCCCATGCTGGAGTGGACTTCCCACTCTCACTTCAACTTAACCTTTTTATAGCGTCGACATCGAGCTCAATGACCAATTAGTGCTTACTGAACCATAGCACTATGCAAATGTGATGTGGCGTGATTCCCGGCTGACCAATTAGCCATCACCAGCTGTAACGTTATGCAAATCTGTGATTTCCAAGCCATAGTTTTATGCAAATCATGCCGTGTGGCGTGATTGTCTGCTGACCAATCAGTGGCTGTACTTTCAAAAAGCCAACGTCACTTTCAACCATCTGTTGATGATTGTTACAAGTAAAAAAAATTTTGCTAGGTCTTACTTTTGGGGGAGGCCTTATATGCTAGGTCTTACTTTTGGGGGAAGCCTTATATGCTAGGTCTTATTTTCAGAGGATGTTTTATTTTTGGGGAAACACGGTATTTCAACATTCATTCACCTTGGATGAAAAGTTGGGAAAGTGAAAAGGATAACTATGAATTTTATCAAAATTTATATATTTTTAATATAATTTTAAGTGTGTCAAATATGTGGTTTGGAAAAAGTTTACCAAATACAAACCCTGAGATATAAATGAAAGTTTATGGAAAAAAGAAAACAACAAAATATAGCATAAAATATTTATTTGCAAAACTCACATGTATATTTTTCTGCTTCTGAATATTCTTTATAACCCCAATCTGCACTGTAATCATCTCACCTGTAGTTCACTGTGGCAATCTGAAGACTGCTCTCTGTCACAAAACATATAGACAGCATCATTTTTAGTGTGATACTCTCATTAAGGTAGTTTTTGAAATCAAAAATATTTTTACTGCTTTTTCCATCAATCTTCTCTCTCAACTTCTATGGAGTTAGTCATGGATTCTGAGGTCATACTAGTTTTTTCTGTTTTTCTTTTTTCATTATCTATCATTGTTATTCTAAACATAACAAAGATCTAATTAATCAAACTCAAAATAATAAAAATAAAAAAATAGAGATCTACTTTGGAGTGCATGGGGTTCCAACTTAGGAAAACAGAATGTTTTAGAACAACATAGTTTCATCAATTGTTCTGTGTCAGAAACTGTTAACAAAGCACATAATCTATTAATTTTATTCTACTAACATATGTTAATAATGAGGAATGAATTCTTACCTGTTTGTAAGTGATGAGGCTACAAAGTCATCTTTCAACAATTTCTTGGATAGCAAGAATGAAAATCCACTTACTTGTCACAGATAAGAAACCAGAACTGAGTAATAATGATTCCACAAGTTGATGACAAGATTGTAAAGTATTTACTCCACTTAATGCTAGTCTGTTTCTTTAGGTGTCTAGTAGGTATCTTTTTCAAAATAAGCTGGGGATCCTACTTAGGGGTAGGAGTCTGACTTTGGTGCTTTACTTGGGTGTGCATTTAGGGAGTTATTGGAATTTTTTAAATTTGTTTAAATTTATTACCATGAATTTCTTTTTCATGTTTAATATTTTCTGTATTTTCAAATTATTTATTTTTCAACGTTAATTTGATTTTAGGCAAAAACTAGTCTGTGATAAAGGAATAAAGGCAGTAGTTTAGAATTTAAGTTTTGGTAAAAGCACAGTAGAAAAATTTTTTCAAAGATTTTGAGGAAAATACAAAGAAATCAAATGTTTTATCAAAAATTAAAGTATTATGTATGTATACCTGTATATTTTTAAAATTAAGGCTGTGGTGAATTTTTTGATCTAGTGATCTAAAATTTCTATTACTATTTTCATTGTTAGACTTGACAGAATGAAATCTTTGTAAATGATTCTGTTTGTATAAAATTATGTTGTCAGAATCAGTTTGGCATTTTTGAAATAAAAATTTTTTTTCTTTCTCCAATTGCCGTTTCATATTTTCTGTTTACAAATCATATTGATGAAATTAGATTTTGTCCTTTGCAATTGAATGAAAACAAATAATAATCATTTTAATTGATTATATAAATTCTTGGTGCACTTTAAATTAAAAGCTTTTTTTTATCAATCAATCAAAACTTTATTTTGCATAAGGAAATTTTCTCTGTTGCAGGAGGAAGTACATTTTTAATTTAGTAGAATACATATTATTAAAATAGTTAACAGAATAATAGTTATAATAGTTTTTTGCGATAATTTACATTTTAGTTTTGTTTTGATATAATTAACAATGAATTAAATTATATTTTTCACTAAATGTTTTTTTTATTCTATCAAACTGTAGAACAAAATTAGTGCAATGGTCATCATTTTCATAAATTTCTGATAAAAATATGATCTACTAATTTTGAAATGAATAAATTCAAGACTATATTAGTGATGTGTGAAGTTATGGCTTTTATAGTTGAATACAGATGTTTTTAATAATTTGGGATAGTTTAATGTCTCTATTATATAGTGTACTAGAAACATTACTACTGATAGTGTGTTAAAAAGATAGAATTCTTTCCATCTCAATACAATTTATATATTTTATTTTCTAAAACTTTATTTGGAATATATATTATGGATTCTGTAGAATAATGTAAATATTTCATTAATTTTTTAATAATAATTTTTGCAAGTTGATCGTGTTTGTCAGCTATCTGTAAATGAATAATGTGTCCTCTAAAATATCATGTGCCATATCAGGTCACCTCTCTTCATGTGCCATATCAGGTCACTCTGAGTTGATAAATACTCAGTGCAGGTTAGTACAAATTAGTTTACACACCAAGTGATGTCCTGGGGGAAGTTAGTACCAGAGTGGTTCCCCATTGCCTTCTCTGGATAAGCAATGTTACATGGGGAGAAATGCCTTCCAGGAGGTCTTTTAAGGGTAACTGGCCCCTATTAAGGCATTACAGATGTGTAGAAAACCTGGAAAATGTCATATGGCCAGCTCATCCAGGCAAGGCATGAACCCATGACCAAACTCCCAGTGTTCAGGGACAGAACTACTATATGTAATAATAATAATAATTATTATTATTATTATTACATATTTTAGGGACCACCAGTGGCCGAGTAGTTCTGTTACAGTTATAAATATATAATTTTCACACATATATTAATTAATTAATTAATAACTCTGGCTTTCATTGTTAAACAGATTTTATATTGAACCAAAATTAACAACTATGAAAGAACATTCAACATTTCACAAATATTATCCTCAGATAAATATGTTGAAAATTGAATGGTACTCTATGAAACTCAAACAATTAAGATATGTAATAATAATTATTATTACATATAGTTGTTAATTTTGTTATACATATAGTTGTTAATTTTGGTTCAATATAAAATCTGTTTAACAATGAAAGCCAGAGTTATTCTTTTAGTTATAAATACACCCATAATTACTACTGTCAATTGCAAATAACTTTATGACAATTTCATATCATTTGCAATTGACAGTTCTAATTATGGGTATATTTATAATTGAAAGAATAACTCTGGCTTTCATTGTTAAACAGATTTTATATTGAACCAAAATTAATAAAACTATGAATGAATATTCAACATTTCACAAATGTCATCTTTGCATAAATATGTGTGAAAATTGAATGTAACTGTATGAAACTTAAACAGTTAAGATTGAACACAAATAGAATTCTTAGATTTAAATACAAATCAAATAGCATCAAAATAGAAAATAGTTATGTTTTTTTCAAATCATCTGTGATATATTTTTGCTCTGTTTCAGTGTTATTCAATTATTTCCAGCTTAGGAATAGGTAATTATTTTTAGAAATTTTCTCAAGATTCTCCTCAAATATATAAATACATCATGTAAGGACTGGTTTATCAAATGCATGTTACATATATTTAAATGTTAAAAGGTCACATAATAAATGCAATAAGAACAGTCACTCATAACATGTTACATAACACCTTAAGAGAGTTTAAAAATTGTCATAATGTTATGAGAGTAATGCAAGATTTCTTAAAGATGAAAAATTTTTGAGTTTGTTCACTAATTAGGATAAACCATGTAGTTGTATCTATTTTCCTAAAATAAATATGAGTTTCTATAATCTATGTTCTTTTGGACACCATGTACAGCACATTAAAATATTTGAGAATAAATTTTTAGGCTTTGTTGCCAAAACATAATGTTTATTCTACATTTTAACATGCATTGAACATACTTCTAGAAACACTGTTTCTATTTTTACTCTTACATTCATGCAACATACTTTTCTTTCATTTTTTCCCTCCATCTGGCTTGAACCAATATGTCTTGCTGCTACAGTAGTTATTTAAAAAACTGTAGTTGTACATCAGATGTGTTGAGTTTTTTTGAGAGTGGCAGTCAGTCTTGTAACTTGATAGTTCTGTGTTGTAAAAAATAAATCATTTATACAAATATAAATATCAATCGAAACCCAATGCATAGCAAATAGATATCCACAATTGCCGTAAATAATCGGGCTATATTTTGGAAATAATAATTATGAATTACAAATAAATTTCCCTCTAGTGCCAAATTTATTTGTATTTCATAATTATTATTTCCAAAATATAGCCTGATTATTTACATTAATTGTGGGTGTTAATAAATCTTTTTCAGGATATAACAGTATATCTTATCACATACATTGATAATAAAATCAGTTACAGTATAGACAAACACTAATTAAGATAGCATTTTCTAAGAAGAAAATTTTAAAACATTAACATGATACCTGAATTAAATTAATAATTTAAAATTTCCTGTGTTGCTAATTTTGAAAAGCATCATCTATAGTTGAACATTATATTTTCAAATAGGTGTTACATTATATGTAAAAATTTAACATTAGAACTTCTGACAGAAAGGCATAACAAATCTATAATCATCTCACCTAAATGTTTATATTACAAAGATTGATCAAATTAAATCTATTTGAGAAAATTTGTTAAGAGAAATGAAACAGTATATCCATTGCTATGGAATAATTAAACAAAGCAATATATGAGGAAGCTGCACATTTGTTTGTTAAAAAGTCACTGTAAGCATTCAGACATGCATCATGCTTCTTGGGGAGATTCTTGGTGTAATTAAATTTTTATAGTTTTACTTACAACTGCTGTACAGTGTATTTTTAATCTGAAGAATTAATTATAGTTTTCAGTTTATGAGAATGTTGTAAATCCATGAAAATACACCTTACATTGGAAAAGTAAATTTTTCTGTAGAGCAAAAAAAAATGCAGTGTGGTCAAAATTGTTGATTTTTAGGTTTCAACACACCAAATGTTTCTAATAATGTTTGACATTTGTCTGTATATACCCTCTTATGTACTACTACTCTTAGTCTGTAAAATAAGATGAACTCAAAAAGTGAAAATTGATTTTTCCAACTTAAGTTACCTTTTTATAGATCACATCACATATTTAGAAAAACAGAAGTTTGATATATTTTTTACCTAGTTAAAAATTCTAATATTTGCAATTTAATATATTAAATTTTCCTGTTAAACATAGTTATATGGTATGAAATATACAAATTTCTTAATTCTAATGTTTTCTTTATTTAAATATTTTTCTTCTGCTCATCCTTCCAATTTAATTGTTAATAACTAATAAATGTAAGATGGTAAAAAATTTGGTTTTTATTTTAAAAACTGGTAATGATTATTTATGCAGATATAAAATTATTAATAAAACAGTTTTTTGTTTTGTTTTGTCAATAAATTAATTAGTTACATCAGCATAATAAACAGTGTTGTTTTAGCAGAATTTATTTGATATTTTGAAAAAGTAAAATCAAGCAAATAGTATGTATGTGAAATGATAAGAAAAAAATTAGATAAATAATTTTAAAATACAGTCAACCCCCTATAGCACTGTTGATTATTCTGTTTTATATGAATTCTATGTTGTACAAGTCACTTAGATTCTACAAATACATGAGCCATTCACAGTCCGGCACATGTATTTGTAAAATCTAACTGACTTGTACAACATGCAATTCATATAAAATGAAATAATCAGCAGTGTTATAGGAGGGTCGATTGTAAAAATATTTATTGATTTTCATTTATAGAAATATTGCTTATGTATTTTATAAGTAAAATTTATATAGCAAAATATATTACATTAATAATATTTTATCATTAATTAATATTTCAATGATATTAAGGGCCCATCGATCAGAAACGTGCCCAACCAAACTACACAGAGAACAACATGGACGACCTTCAATTACTGAACTTGATGAAGATTTTTTTCTATCTGAATGACATTATTGTTAATTAGTATGTAATATAAGTTGTTATAATTAAATTGAAAAGCTTATTTCTAGATATTTAATTCATAATATATTTGAATATATAAATATATACATAAAACATTGAAAATATATATTTTACATATTTATAATTTAATTTAATTTGAATTTTATGAAAAAATTTAATTGGCTCAATGTGAATGCAACATGTGTAATGTTTGAGAAGGAAAGTCTATATATATATATGTATTTGAGGTGGCTGCAAAATTTAAAAATTCATTAAGTATTTCTGATGTGACAGAAAGAATACTTTGATAGAATATGCCATTTGAATTAATGTAATGCTTTTCAAAGAAACTTTTGCATTCATCTTATATATTTTATATAAAATATAACTAATGAATTAACTATGTGATTATTAACCAAATTAATTGCAAATATAATGATGCAAATAAATACTGCCCAAAAAAAAATTTGTGATGTATATAAACCAAAGATCTATTCAAATTTATTTATTTCATGGGATAATATACAGTATAGATTGTCATATACAATGATGATGATGATGATGGTGATGATTTATTTTATAAACATTCTATTATTCTACAGTATTAAGAAAATGTAAAGCTTAAAAAAGCTGAAATTTCAAAATTAAATTTAAAATTGGACCAAGTTGTTGTAAATATTAGGAATAAAACAAATTATAAATTTAAATTAGGCACAGTAATAACTAGCAATAATGTAATGACAAAATATATTATTAAAATTTAACAGAAATATTTACAAATTAAAACACTTTTTTTTTTATTAAAAATTATATGTATATACTATATTTTAGAAATGTTTTTATTATGATTTAAATATAAAATATGTTGTGTGTTTTAATTATTATGAATTTATTTATTATTTTCCTTAAGTTTATGGGAAAAAATAAATATAGCAAAAATATAGTTATAAAAGTGCACATTGCAATTGTTGCACAAGTAGTGCTTTAAAATAGAAATGTCATTATTAATAAATTATATAATTTTTTTTTGTTGAATTTTGTGTATTAAATATTGTATGATAAAATTATTTTAATGAAGTATTTTGTATTTAAATATGAAATGATTTTTTAGTTTTTGTTGGAAAATATGCTACAGGATGCTCATAAAAGAATTATTTTAAAAAGTTCATACTGAGAAATATTTATACAAAACAAAAATTTCAAAATGTTGGTTTACATTTTTACAAACATAAATTTTACATAAATCTTATTTAGGGTTGGAATTAATATTCTGTACTCAAAACTAGCTTAAAATTACTAAAAAGTAGTACTAGTATTGCTTTTGTAAACCAGCAATTATTTATTATATAGATTTTTTTATTTATTTAAGTTTTCTTCAAACAGATTTGAAATAATACAATTTAAAAACAGAATAAATTTTAAAAATTCTTCCTTCTTCAAATCTATTCCAAGTTAGTTTCTTCAATACTACTACCTTTTTTTAAAATTTATTTTAATACTTTAATGTTTTCCATTTTTAAATTACATCTTTTGAATCTTAACTGAAGAAGGCTTAAATAAACCAGAAATATTTATATCATAATAATAATTTCTGACTTTAAAAGGAAATATATTTTATCAATTTCCTTAGAATCTCATAAAATTTTAATGATTTAAAATTATAATAAAGCAATCATACATTTTAAATATCTTATACTATAAATAGGAACAGATTGTTATAATTATTAATATAAAGATATCCTGAAGTGTCTAAAATCAGAAAAATTTGAATTAATAAATTATTTGTGAATATAATTGAAGAGGTGAGAGTGTATAGAGATAGCAACTTGTTTTTACAAAGTTATGTTTAAAGTTGTAGAAAGTTGTGTTAATGATGATAATGATAATTTTCATGATAATATAGTTTATTTAAAATATTTTTAATATATTTATTTATAATGTAGTAATTTAAATTATTATTAATTTATAACTATTGCAAAGGATCAGTTTCTGTTAGAAAAGATTAAAAGATGTGTTTTTTTTAAAATTATTATTAATTTATATATTATTTTTTATGTTTGTGCTGTTTTTATATCTCATTTGACTACTTTTTAATATTTTAATTTATTTTTATAAAAGAAAGAAAAATAATATAAATTTTGAATGTGAAACTTATAAATGATTATAAAAATTAAGAAATTTTCATTAATTTTAATTAAAATATAAATAATAAAATTACGCAGTTTTTTCCTGTTGCAATTTGTCCCTAGAGGCTAGACAAATAGATCTAAACAGTTTGTTCATAATTGATCAATTGCGATAGGATTACAAGTGAGATGATCAAATATGATAGGAAAGAATGAGTTTTTTTCCTGCCATACTTTATCATTTCACCTGTAATCCCATCAATTCTAAGCTTTGTATTAATCTTAAGCTTTTTTTAAATTGTTTTTTCAACTTCCCACAAACTGTCATTTTCAATTTTTGTTCTTGGTAGTGGTACAAACTCTTTCTCAATTGTTTTAAGCTCTTTGTTTACAGTTGTTAATAAATCTGGCTTCAGTTGTATTTCATATGATTCAGAACAGTTATGTAGTTTTTTGGTTTTTGTGAGATATTTTTTTCATTATTAAATGTGCCCTCATTATCATTTTACTTGAAAAATATCTGCTTTAATTACAATGTTTTAAAAATATTTTTAATCATTTCAATTATTTAATCATGGAGAATTTAAAACCAACTTTGCTGTTAAATTCTCCATAAATTTCTTTGTGTTCATTGTTCCTCAAGTCATTTAGTTTTATACATAATAATTATTTTATTTTTTAAATTTCATTACAATCTATTATTGTCTGTTGCTAGCATTTCTTAATTATATCTTTTAATTTTTAATGTTTTTTTTTCATGGATTATCATTAAACTCTCTTGGGAATTCATTCTTTTTTTTATGTAGGATAATGTCATCAATGTTATTTTTCTTCTTTTTCTTTAACTATTTAGGATTAGGCACTTTATAGCCTGTTCATAATTATTAGTGTTGTTAGCATTTTCATTTTCTCCTTAGATATTCTCAATTTCTTCTTCCCTTTGCTTTATACTCTACTGTCAGCTGTGGTAGCCTATTTTTGTCCATTCTATTAATGTGACCACCATCCGTCTTTGATATTCCTCTGATATAGAGGAATAACAGATGTGACAATCTGTCAAGAATACCATGTTATTTTAAACACTTTTATTACTGTTTAATTAAATTAAAGTTTTAAATTTAATTAGTCCTTAATAGTAGTAATTTAGTTAAATGTTAATAGTTGATCAAGTACTTTTAATAAAATTTCTGATTTTTCCTTAAAATTTTTCAAAATCTATTTCTAATATTATTTTCTGTCAGTGTTGTTATGTCTTTTCCTATGAAATTATCTCAGTTATTTTTCTTTACAATTTAATTTTATTGAAACTTTTCATAAAATGTCTTCATTTATTAAATTCTCAAGCTATCAAGTTATTTTAGTTATCATCAAATTTATGATCATCAGTTTATACACATTAATTTATTTTATGCTTTTATGTGATACATTAATTCAGCCTTGAAGTAACAGCTATCTAAGAAATGAAGTTAATTGTAATTATTTGCTCTAAATTTAATTTCAGTCTATATTTATTACTGATAAATTTAACAGTATAAGTATAAAACCATTCTATCTTCTAAGATCATCATCATTATATCTGCTATATAAATAAATATAACTCATATTTTTTATAAGATGTTATAATCTTAATAACATTTACTAGAATATCTATAAGATCTCTGCTAATTGGGTTTTCTGTATTTGGGTTTGTTTATAATATTTATTTTTATTCATAAAATGGAGTTTTTACTGCTATTTTCATGCAGTTATAATTATTTTAAAATGTCTTTATAGGCTATTTAATTTTTCAAATCATTCATTAAAATATTGACAAAAGAGATCATGATAGATACTGTACAATTGTCTAGTGTTTAAATATTTCTGTACTGCTGACTAGAAGACTGACCACTTGTTTGTTCTGGATTATTTACTGTGACATGAAATCTAGCTATTTAGCAGGTACATTTTTTTTATGTAATTGTCTCAAGAATCATTATAGATATCTTAATTTTGTAAGTGAAAAAATTACATTGCTGATTTTAATGACTGTTTTAAGAAATACTTCTTAAATATAAATTTCTAATTGTTGCAACTATTTTTTTGAAACCTTACAAATTTTTCATACAAAATTTGTATCCTTTCTTTCTCATGAAAATACAATGAAAGTTTCTTAAACACATCAGATATGTGAGTGTGATAGATCATATACGATGTTATCCTCACACTATAGTTTAGGAATACATTTTCCTCATTTCATTATTTATCATTCAAATGGCAGTCTATATATTATAATTTACCCAGGAGAAAATAAGAATTGTAAGGAAAAATGTTGTTATGTGTTACCATTTTTATGTTCTTCCACTGTCATGATGCCAATATTCAATTCAAATAAATAATTCTGAATAAGGACATGTACAAGTACATTCATCTTGGATACTGTCATTTATGATTTCAATATATCACTCATCACACAAACCATCTTGTCAATATGGTTAGGATGATGAGACACCATTTATTAGCTGGTGATGTTGTTTAGTTTACAAACAATTTTTTGTGAAGCAGTGAAGAAATGTTGAGTTAAGGAAAAATTTTTGATATGATTATTTTGGTGGGATTTCAATGAAACATCCTCTTGTTATGTCAAACTAGCTTTATAAAAGTAATCAAAAAATTTCAATACATAATTTACAAAATGTTTACATAACGATAGTAATTAAAAATTTGTTTTTAATGATTTAATTATATTTTTTATATGTATTAGTACTTCATAACAATGTAATCTAGATGTATAGAAATATCAAATCTGTTATTTTTAAAATTTTACCTAAGTTATGAGATTGAATATAACAATTTATATACAATAGAATCTATTTATTATAATAATGAATATTGTTGTTAGTTGTCAGCAAGCCCCAAAACATAAAGTTAAAATACATTATAAAATTCTGCTTATTGTAATCAGACTTTTACTTATATTTATCATTATATTTGGAGAAATAAGCAGTTTTAATCTATCTGTTTGTGTTATCATTCTCAAAATTTGATTGGTAATTTGTAGTTATCATCAGTTTAATGTTTAAAGCACTGGTTAAAACTTAGAGTAAACAAGTGGTTTAATAATTATTTTCTTTTTTAATATTGTAAGCTATTCATATTAAGAAGCCTGTTTTTACATTTTTTAAAGACAGATACAATTCATCTTCAGATCTGAAATCAAAACTTTAAATAATATGTATAATAAATGTAAAATGTATATTAAAAGTTTAATATTTATATATTATTTTCCTTTTTATTTATTTATACATATTTAATTTTTATTTTAAGTTTATATTTATTATAAATACATAATAAAGGTATAA